CGGGGAGTTAGCTAGACTTCTAGCTAATATTTAGGTTATATTTCCTTAACTAAGGAATTCTTAATATTATATTAAATCCTCTTATATTAGTAATATTAAAGTTAAGTTATGGGTTATAGCCTATAATATTTATTAGGAGGTATACTATCTCCTTATTAATAATTCTTTTACTATACTAGACTTATTCTCCTTTAACTATTTATAAGGGGTATAGTTATTCTTTATAGATCTATATAATCTATTACTTATTTACTAATCTAGGTAATATTAAGTTTACTTATACTTTATTATTAATTATAACTTAAGTAGGCTGTCTGTTTAGGAGGACTTATAAGAAGATATAACTATTATCTTCTATTACTATAATATATAGGGTTTTTATTTGTCTTCTAGCTGCTTATACCCTACTTATAGTTAGCGTCTTAAGTTTTTTAGCTAATTTAGGTAGGTCTTAGCCTTCTTAATCTAGGTTTACTATATTTATACTTTTTCTATATAGTAGTATCTATATTTATTATAGTAGTAGTCTAACTAGTGTCTAGTAGTGCTTATTATATACACTACTAGGTATTATAAGTATAGTTTAAGATAAATATTTTATCTCTTATATTCCTTAACTCTTTAGTGCTATAGTTCTTTATTTATATAGTATTAAGGCGCTACTATATTATTTATCCTCTAAAGATAAAAGGTATTAATTCCTTTAGCTACCTTATATATACTATATTTATTATAGATATAGTTTATTTAGAATATTTTCCTATATAGTAGGTGTTCTAGGGCTAGGTGTTTATAATCTCTAAACCTAGGGCTTTTTTAGTTTAGGATAATAGGTTCTCTTTTAATATTAATATCTTTAGTCCTATAGAAGCAGAGGGTTTAGTTATTTATTTCTTTAGAGATTTCTTAAAAATTATAGTTATACGTTTTAGTAGGTATATATATTATATTAATTTATAAAATATAAGGTCTATTATCTTTAGTCTTTATATTATTTATAAGTAGTAATAATAATAGTATATTATTAGCTTATTATTAAATATACTAAGTCTTTTTTTTAGTCTATTTAATTATAATTAGGTTTACTTAAGTTAATCTTATTAGTTATTTTACTGCTTTTTATTTTATCTTACTAAGTAGAATAGGTTTATAGTAAGGGAGTTCTTTATTACTTTCTTCCTTACTACTAGTTTTTATTTTATTAGAACTAGCTTCTTATACTAGAGTAGGTTCCTAGAACCTAAGTCTAGGTTATAAGAATTCTAGTCCCTTCTTACTAACTACTAGTATTTTAGCTTATCTTAGGGTTATATATACTTTTATTTATAATTCTTAAGTAAGTTTAAGTGTATTAAGGCTGCTTATAAGTTCTTAGCTAATAAAGTTTTATACTAGTAGTTAATATAGTTAAGAGTAGATTCTTACTATTATATAAGGCTTCCCTCTAACGTTTATTTTATACTTAACTAATTATTTAAATTAATATAGCTTATTATATAGTAACCTTATAGTCTTAATTATATTATAAATAATTTATTTATTATACTTATTTAGTAGTTATTAGATATCTTTATTTATAATATCTAGGATTATTTATTATATCTTTATTTAGTAGGTAATAGCTTTCTTACCTATAGTAATAATTTTAGTTAGTTATATACTAAAGCTAGTAGCTTTATATATAGTTTACTTAAAGTCTTACTTTAATTACTATTATTTCTAGTAGTTACCTTATACTTTAATATAAAGTTATAGTTATTTACTAAGAGTATTTAAAGGCCTTTTTTATATATAGCTAATCCTATTTATCTTATATAGCGTCCTATATCTAGATTAGTTTAGTAATAAGATATTAGTTTTAAGCCTTAAAGTCCTTAACTTCCTAAGGTTATTATTTTCTAGCTACTATAATAGTTTTAGTAATTTCTTATAAATAGTTTTTATTAAGTGACCTTAGTAGGTTATAGTTCCCTTAAGTAGCTATCTGCTATTCTAGTTACTCCTCTACTAGTTCTAATTTCTTTATACTAAGGGTATTAAGGTATTAGGTCTTTAGTTATTTATAAGTTTCTATAAGTTTTATAATAATATTCTTATTTTATATATCTATAGCTTATTTCCCCTTATTACTACGCTAGTAGGTAATTACTATAGTCTGTTAGTTAAGCTACTAGATATCTATAGGCTTATTAGCCTAGGTTATAGCGCTAGTGCTTTCTTTTAAGGTGCCTTTATATAGTCTATTCTTAATAGTTTCTATAGTTTCTTTAACCTTAACTTAGTTATAGAATTTATATATATTAATTATTATAAATTATTTCTATTAGGCTGCCTTAGTGCCTTTAGGTTTCTTTAGGTACTATCTTATTTATTTTTTACTATCCTTATAGGTTAAGTAGTTATTATTATAGTAAGTAGTCTATTAAAGTTATTTATAAGGGGTCTCCTTTTAAGCTACGCTAGCCTTTTTAGTGTACTTAAGTAGGGTTTTATACTATAGCCTTTTTAGCTATCTATAGTCTTATATAAAGTGTCTTATTTCTTTATAATTATAGTATTTAATAGTGTTAATATTTTATACTAGTTACTAGTCTTATTTCTTAGTAACACTAATATCTATAGGTCTTATATATTATTTATAAGTAGTACTTTAGTAGTTATTATATACTTACTACTAGGTGTTTTATTTTTTATTTTACTAGTATAGCTGTTTAGGCCTTTAGGTATACTTCTTACTTATATTAGTATTAGGTTATTAATTTTCTCCTTATTTCTTATATTATTTAAAGAGTTATATATTAATTTTAATAGTAAGTTTAATATAAGATAAGAAGTCCTTAAGTAAGTTAATAATCTTAATAAGTTTATCCTTAATATTATCCTTAAGTCCTTAGTAAAAAGTAAAGATTAATAATTCTTAAGTAATATTAAGTTAAGTAGCTAGTTATTAGAATTTAGCTATATAGTATAAGGCTAACTTAGTTTATTATAGGCTAGCTAGGTCTTACTTAGCTTATTACTTCTTATTAAGATCTTAAAATAGTAACTATAGGGCTTTTATAAAGCTAGTTATACTTCTAAAGATATTTTATATCTTATAAGAGTATATAGTAAGGTTACTATTATACTTAAGAAATTCTTCTAAATAGGGTTTATACTAAGAGAGCGCTTTTCCTTATAAAAAAGTTCTTATATAAATAACTTATTTAGTTTTACTTCTAAAGTTAGTAGTATAAAAGGTCTAATAAGTATAAACTTAAATTAGGAATCTTTTTAGCTATCTACTAGTCTTATTATAAGTTTTAAGTAAGTTAAGTTTAAGCTTATTATATTTATTAACTAGAGTAGTAATAATATTTACTATACCCCTAAGGGTAGTTACTTCTCTATTTAGTTTTTTAGCTTTAGCTATTTTATTTTTTAGCTAAGTAATAGTGTTATAGACTATATTCTATAGCTAGCTAATTTTAAGGGTTTTAGTGTTTAGTTTTCTACTAATATTATTAATTATAGCTTATATTTAAGCTATATTATTATTATTACGTTTAATATACTACTAGATTTTAATATATATACCTTAAGTAAAATCTAGCTTATTATTTAATTTTTTAGCGTCTTTTATTTTCTTATTTAAGCTTTTAGTTAGGGTAGTTAGGTTTTTTCTAAAGCTAAAAGAAGTTAAGGTTATCTTAGGCGTAAATATTATAAAATACTATTAGGTAAGTATTAAGGTTAACTTACTTAATAGAAGTAATTAAAGTGTTATAGCTAGTTTTTAAGTAATAAGGTTTCTACTAATAGTAAGTAAAAAGAGATACTTAGTAATAGTAATTATTATCTTACTAGTCTATTAATTACCTAGTAATTAGTTATATAGTTAATAGTTATAAGGGTAGCTTATATAGCTCTTATTAATTAAATTACTAAGGTTAAATACTAAAAAGTATTTAAAGAATATATTATAAGTTAATTACTAAAGAGCTATAGAAGTCTGTCCTTAAGTGTATCTAAGTTTATCCTATATATAAGTCCTAGCTATTCCCTAAACAGTCCTATTAACTAATAGTTATAAGTAATTACTATTCTTATATAAGGTAAGCGCTTAGTAGATACTAGTAAGCACTTACTTTTATACTATAGTTCTTCTGTTCCTAGGGAGTTATCTGTCTGTCCCTTGTCTCTTGTTTGTATAAATGCTGCTGCTGCCTATTGTCTGCTTGTTAGGTGGGGCAACATAGCCTGTAACTTGTTGGGTTGTAACACTTGGGTGCTAGGTTAAGTCGTTCGCAATCACCCAGAACCCAGCCATGCATCTTTGTCGTCGAGCATCTTAGCAGCTAATCTTTCTGTCTTTACTTTCCTACGTTAATCTACGGAGGAGCCTGTCAATAGTCCTTGCGGAAGATGCCAAGGCGCTAGAGTCACTGTCGCCTAGCCAACACTATCAGTACAGCAAGCTACATCTCAAGTCACATGATCGTCAGGCTGCCTCTGAAAGGGCCCCTGTGAAACAATCCTGGGCTGCTGTAGCACTCCTATAATCTATACGTATCTGATAAAGGATTGATAAGACTGTACTTTCAAGTACTGAGGTTGTAATACTCCACTTCTAGTCTTGGCATTCTTCGCAAGGACTATTGACAGGCTCCTCCGTACGTGTGTCAACATTAGGTGAGGTGACAGCGTTACGATTGAAAACGCTAATAAGGCTAGTCTGTTTTATTTCTGTAGTGGTTGAGACTAGCTCAGTTACTGCGGACCACGGCACCCTGTTGACATCGCCACCGGCTTTGGAGCCGTCTCTTTACGCCCAGCCTTACCGCCACCACAACTGCAACCGCTTGTGACACTATCCGTGCACACACACTTGACCACGGCGAAAGCGCCGCCATCCGAACTCTGGCCCTTGGGCTGATACCAAGGCGGACAGAAGTCCGGCAACTTCTTACCGACCGTGCGGATCTGGCCATACTTGACACCCTTCTTGTCGATGTAGTCGCTCTTCCCGAACCCGTCGAAGCGGATCTTCCACGTCATTGGGAAAGGGACATACTCGTCCCATGCAGGGGTCAAATACGTGTCAAATCCGGGCCGGAAGACCTTGTCGTTGAAGATCCTGGACGCCTTCCTCCGATCCTCCAGCTCGCCAACTTGTTTCTTGATCCACTCCACGCGTCCAGGCGCCATGTAATTCGCATAGCCTTCTAAAGTAGGCTCGAGGTGCACACGCTTAAGCTCACCCTGAGCCGCGGGACCACGGCGTGTGTTGCGCGTCAGGGCAATAAACTTAATCATCTGCGCTTGGCTGAGTGGGGTGAAGCGTCGCGGGCTAAAGACCGCGTACTTGTCTGCAATCGAGAGCTGAAGGGTCAGGAATTCGAGTTTGCCCTTGTCTTTCGCTTCCTCAGCGATGGCGGTGGCAGGAGCCTGGGAACACAGGTGTCAGCCATTCCTCCAAATGAGGTCTTCCTATTCCGCGCCGCCGTGTGAGGGAGCAAGCAAACTTACCAAATCCAATACGACATACTGCCCCTCCTTGAGCGTTGTGGGACTGCCCTTGTGCGAGCCGTCGCCGACGAAGTCGAATTGCCCTTCCTTGAGAACCTTGCGCACGATGGGCAAGTTAACCTTGTTGCGTGCCATGCCCTGCACCATCTTTTCAACGGTGGCATCGTCATCGGCCAGTGCAGCTCTCTGGAGGGCGAGCCATTTTGGTTCGGCGGCGATGTTGTCCCCGTTAGCAACTTGACAGAGGTCCTCCATGAAGCCGTCAAGCGTAGCAGAAAACTATGACAAAAAAGAGATTGGTCAGCTCGACTCTTGTTGCTGTATCTAGATTTCCGGAAGTATGCATCTATAAAACAGACGTTCAGAGGGCCAGAGGGGAGTCAAAGGCTCGGGACTTACTGAAACGACAGCATTATACGCAAAGTCCAGAGAGATCAAAAGCAAGATGGCCGCAGCCCTGACCCGATTCGGCTCATGCTTGAGCACCTGTCGTGCCACAAACACACCCATACGATGCATTGGGTTATTCTCCTCCTTGCCAAAAAGCATATTGGACAAGCCGAAAATCTGATTGGCCTCCCAGATCGTGCCATGGGTAGCAAGGTCAATCAAGAATTCCACCGACTTCTGGAACGCCCGGCGGCGCGCCATCCACTTCGTCTCGTCGGTATTGTAGGCCAGGAAGACTTGACAGTTGGTGATGTGCTGGTAAATCTCGTTTTCAGTGTATGTTCCGCGGTGTGCGGCCTTGGTGTGCTTGTCCCAGACGGTAGAAGTATCGGGGATCTCGCGCAGTTTGTGGCTGAAGCCGAGGAATGACGCCATGTAGCGGGTCACAACGGGGATGGCGAAGCTGTGAGTACAAGATGAGTGAGTCAATAATTCTTCGGCTGAAAGCAGCATTTCCAATGTCAAGTAGATTTAACACTTACTCTCTGGTTGCGTCGATTTGAAACTCGGAGTTGGTGATTGAGACCGATTCGCGCTTAACGATGAATGTCATCAACTCCGACAAGTATGCCTTGAGGTCTTTCTCCGAATTCTTGACATAGTTCTCTAGGATCTTTCGGTCAAAGTTGATCGGCCTCACTGTCTCCCGATCAAGCACGTCTCTGAGTGACTGAGGCAAGTTTGACTTGTAGGTAAACACGGGATTGGTAAAGTGATCGCTCTGATATCCTTTGAGGACGGTGAAGATGTCATCAAAGTTGTCCAGGTAGCATGGCTTCTGGGGTTTCTTTGGCGGGTATGCGACAATGCTCGCTGCAGCCTTTGCGTGGTCGTAGCAAGGGTTGAGCTCGATGTTGGCTGTCTCTCCGAATTGAACGGCGTAGCCTTGCTGCTCGGCGTAGATGGCGTTCTGCTTGGCCGTATAAAAAGGGGAAAACCACCTCAGACTGTCAGGGGGCAGCCACCCTGGGAAGGCACGCTGGATCAGCCGGTGGAAGACGGAGCTCTTACACACGTCGTTGTCGGGTGTGACCTCTTTCATTCCCCAGGCCGTCAAGCTTTGGGTGTTCCAGTCGACGGTGTAAAATCGATCAGACCTCACCAGCGTGATGGCGTCAGAGAAGATGGCTGACCACAGGGCGGAGCTTGAATTTCCTGGCCCCGGGTCTAGACCCATCATGACATCGCTCTCGCAAAAGATGCCAGGGTACAATTCAATCTTATCGGGCGATTCATAGAGATCGCGTAGGGCATTCTGGATGTCCGTGTTTGCAGAGACACTCTCGAACGTGGTGTGGACTGGTAGCTCGAAAAAGCTACGGAAATCGTTCAAGGTTCCTATTTCCCACTTGCGAGCCTGCATAATGCCCATAATCTCGACGGGCTTGAGACACTTGGGGACGTTTCGCGGGCCAAAGTTGGATAGAGGCTCGTCCATGGCCGCAGTCAGCTCATTGAGCATCTGCTCGTCATCAAAAAGGTTTGTGATATCGTTGCGTGTGAAGAGCTTGGAGTTCGCGACAGAGGCAGTGGCGACGGCCGGGGCCTCCATGGCCTTGTTGGTGTCGACGCCTACACTGATTCCGTCCATGGAGATACCGCTGTCTGAGCCATTCCTGCTCCGCTCGGTGCTATGCCCGTCCTCCAATCCGGGACTTGTTTTCGTTGCGGGAGCATCCGGAATGCCGAATGTGACTTGCCATGGCTCCTCATGCTTCTGCTTTCCATATGCCATCACTTTGAGGAATTCTGGCAGGGAGAGGCTGTCGGGCTTCTCGATGCCGAGAGTGGCCTTCATAAAATCCTCTACGTACTTCTCGTCACGAAGCGAGATGGCGCAGTGGAAGCGGTAGATCAGGTTGAACTCGACAGTTACCTGGTTACCAATGCCTCGAGTGGTCTTCTTTTGGTCAAAGTCCTTCCTCGGATCGAGGGTAAAGTTTGTGTCGAACTGGTGGAACCCCATTAAAGCACGGAGATAGTCGTGGACGCTAATATTGACATACATGCCCTGCGTGATGAGGCGGGCAGTGTTGAAGAGATCGTCGTCCTGCTTGTCACATGCAGCCTGCCAAGCAATCTTGAAGTCTTTGCAATTGTTCTCAAAGGACTTCAAAAGAGCTGGAGACTCGCGTTCCAGCTTTTGGCCCTTCTCTTTCAGCTTCTGCTTCAGCTTGCGTTTCACGTCCACAAACTCCCTGTATAACGGTTGAGACTCAAAGGACGTGATGAGATCAAGAGCATTTTTCCTCTTCTCCGCGGCTGCTTCACGCAGAGCTGTCTGCTCCGGCGTCTCGGGCCCCTGTTGCGGTAGAGCAGCGTCGGGGGCATCCGCAGGCCTCGCGGCTTGGACTTCGCTCCACAAGCGCTCATATTTATTGCAAAGACGTTCTACCTTTGGATCGAGTGGTACCTTGTTGCCATGGTCGTCCTGATCAGGAAGGTGTTCTTTGATTAGCGCGACTAGTCGTGCGCCGCTGTACATTTCTGGTACACTGAAGCGACCGTTCTCGTTGATCTGTAGAAGCTGTCTGGCAGCATAGTTGTGGTACCGGTTGTACATAACCAGCATGATACACACTCCAGGAGGCTGCCTCAATAGACGGTCCTCTGCGAAGGTGTCGGGCTTGAGCAGGCCTAGCTTGTACTTGTTGTCCCGGACTTTTCGCACCATCTCTTCGGTGTAGCCATAGAGAGGCGAGAGGTCCAGATACGAAGAGGAGTCCGAGAGGTTCTTGTCATTGTCGTTGGTGCGGAAGATGTCATGGATAATGATGGTGGCGTGGTACAATAGCATTGACGATAGTCCAGACTGACTCTGGCGGCCCCCGTTTTCGCGAGCCATCAGCCGATCAAACAAAACTTCGGGGTCAGGCAGCGCGCCAAGCGGAGCCGTTTTGGATGGTACGGTCTTCGCGTAGGGAGCACCAGCCTGTCCGAGGTGCGGGTTCAGGGCTGAGTTGAAGGACCCATCGGCAGTTCTGTACTGAAAGGCGTCACCCAAGTAGGTGAGAGGAGCTGAGTTTAACAAGGTCAGCGGAGGAAGACACAAGCAAAAGCCCCCACGTTCTCATCTCTTCTTCTTGTCGGGTCAGGTCTATGAACTCACGATGCAGCATTTTGTTGTACTTTTCACGCACTTGAGCGTTAATAAGAAACTCTTCACGAAAAGTGCTGTGATTCGATAGGCTACCAGCAATCTGGGCAAATCCACGCTCCTAAGCAACATTGTTAGTGATACACCGCAAAAGCCAGAAAGTGACTTACATCAAGACCTTTGCCGGAAAAGAAACTTCCAGCAATGTTAACCCAAGCGCGCCAATTGCTGGGAGCGAACGCTGCCGTGAGATCTCCAAGCGGCCCGACCTTCTGCGTGATTTTGTTCTGCATGGGCTCGTCAGCAAAGGTGCATCCACCCAGACACACACGATGTAGGACTTACAGAGATCAGACTATCGCCGTGGAACTGGGCGTACTTCTTTTCATTCTCCTTATTCCTCAACTGCAGGGTAAGGTCCATGAGCTGGTCCTCCCTTGACTGGGCCACTGCAATTGCTCTTGTCGCCATGTTGGGCGGGATGTTCGGGCGAGCTCTGTTAATGTGAAGGAATGAAGAATACAACAATTGGCCAATCCTTAAATAGCCAGACGTCTGTCAAGCTGAGCCCGGGGTAATATGATTTACGTAGTCTGCGAAGTGATTTATGCTCAATCATGGTCAACGGGGGCGAGCGACATTAATACTGTTGCCACGTCAAGCAAAGGGCATGTTGTGACCGACAACACATCCTTGGCGCGGGAATTTGATTGAATCTCCGCTAGTCCGCTTGCAAGTGGAATTTCAATCTCGCAAGAAATGCCTTTACCTTGGCACAGATTACCTTCTGACGCATCCTATGTACGAAGTTCGAGATTGTGCTGGGCTCAGAACACTGGCCGACGCTTTCGTCTAATAGTCGCCTTCAGTCTCTGTACCTTCAGGCCGCGGAAAGAGACACCATGTAGATAGGTAATCCGGGTTACGATACAGTACCTGTCGGTAGCTGAACCTAGCTAAAGTGAAAAGGCGGATGCACATATCTCGTACAAGACATTGTGGCTGATAGAGTTCAAAGCTGAGCATATGTAGAACCTTACGGCCGATTGAAATTATTGCCGTGTAACTCCAGCCAATGTTTTCCGGATGCATTATCAGCTGCTATAGATTAACGTTTTGGTGCTTATACTAATACCCTTATCAGAAACTACTGCACCGGAAGCATCAGCACTGAGCCTGTCTTGAATTCTGAGACCTTCTCCAAAAGCTGTCTCAAACTCAGATTATCAACGGACTCCTGATGAGCTAATTTCGGGCCGTTCCCAAAACGGTGCGGAGGGCTCAGCTGGAAACAGGCTTCCCGCCAACGCTGGCATGTGATGGCTCCAACACAGAAACATGTTCAATGCCACTCGTCTAAAACACGCATTCCGTTAACCTCAGGGATGATTTCGCAGCGGATGCCATCCGAGGTTTTTGTCGACACTAGCGGCTTTACATCGCCAAGATATGAGCCCAGCTAGTATTAAGCAGTGGAAGTATTCACAGGAAAGCTTCTTGCACGAAATGCTTAGGTGGGAAAGCGGCCCAGTCCTGGTTCAACTGTTGCTCTGCCCCACGGCACTTGATAAGACCGCTACTGTACTTGTACCACAGGAGAGCCCCCTCCCTCGTCTTGAGAAGGTCCTTTGCCAACATTGCTATATCGAAGTTTCTGCCAGCTCAATAGGTGCTGCGATCGTCTGTTTCTTTACCTGTTCATCAAATCATACCTTGATTTTCTCTCCCACAATGGCAATGCCCCCCTCTCTTCCGGTTGGCAAATATGTTCGCAGCCCGGACAGTGCCAGCCGCAGCCCTTGCCCAGTAGTCAACGCGCTCTCCAACCACGGCTACATCGAGCGCGACGGCAAGAACATCTACATGTCCGATCTGACGGCGGCGATGCGACAAGTGGGAATGAGTCCTTTGCTCGGCTCCATTTTCGCTGTCCCGACCTACTTTGAGTACCACAACCCGGAAAAGGCCCACCTCCAACCTCCTGTCAGCGCGTTGAAGAGGTTCTTGGGCCTCCTCAAGAATCCTTACTCCTATTTCTCTTACTTTGGCTGCTGGAATCCGCAGCAGTACGACGAAAAAGGCAAAAAATATCTCAACCTGGAGAATCTCGCCTCCCATGGGGCGATTGAGCACGACATTTCTCTCTCACGTCGCGACTTCGCTCAAGATCAGGGAAACAACAAGCCGCAGAAGGACCTGATCCAGGACATGCTCAAGTGCTCCCAGGACGGTGAGACCCTTACCATCAAGGACCTAGCCGGTTTCATCAAGATAAGGATCAAGCAACAGCTCATCGATAATCCGGAGCTCGTGTACGGCCCTGCTCAGCATCAGGTCAACTGTGGCCAGATTGCACTCATGATGGGATGCTTTGGTGACGGCCAGACTATCCCTTTGAAGTATGTTCGGGCCATCTTTGAGGAGGAAAGGCTGCCCGTTAAGGAGGGCTGGACTAAGCGGACATGGTGGTCCATGGGCTTAATCGAGTTCTTCCGGTCGGTGAACAATCTCGTAAAAAAGGTCAATGTCACAATCTAGAGGTCTCAAATAGGGCGAAGATGGATAACAATGGATATCTGTAGTGAACGATTGAGTAGCTTCTATCATCAGTCAATGAATGTGGCTGGATAATCTGCCGCTGCTCCACTTTTGTCTAGTATAACCCAGGGTCCTAGTAATAGTGAACATTAAACACCTGCAAAACTTACGATACGTTTCTGCTAAGGTAATGTGGCGAAGCAAGACTAAAGTTCAGAACTTGTCAGGCGTGCCTTAATTTCGAACTATCAAATGAGGGGATATGTGTTCACGCTAGACGCTCAAAAAGGCTAGATGCTTGAAGGGCAGACGCTGTGAGGGTTATAAGGTCTCAAGAAGGGTTACACACAATCTCTTTGAGAGACAGCTAGTCAAGGCCGCATAAGCAGCCCATTAGCATCGAATGCTTGTTCATCCAACCCTCTCGTTTACCGGCTAACAAATGACTCAACTCAAACATTCTTCCGATTTAAGACAGGCATTGACGCTTTCAGCCAGCTCCGAATGCTTGATGCGGCCTGCCGCGTAAGGCTTACTCAGCTGATACACGGCCGCAGACGACAAATGTTACCGTTTGAGTTGCCCAGCCAGAAAGAAATTACTGGCATACACATGTCTTGCTTCTCCTTAGTACATCGAGCACAACTGCTTATCATCTGTGGTTGATGTGTCTCGAATGCATGCATACTTCGACACTACGGTGATAACGAACGATTGAGTCCCATAACTTGCTGGTGGCGGGTGGGCCTCCACATGTCTCGGTACGGAGCGGGCTGTTATGAGAGATTAGTTTCCTAATTTTAGCAGAAGCTTATTAGTTTGTGTAATCAGAGTAGCTACCTTGATTGGTTTAGTTATAGCTGAAATGGCGCAAGGAAACCGAGGACATTTAGGAGGAGTTGTCCGACATTTCGTCAGAGCTTATTAACGTTTTTGCTATTTATAATTAAGTAGTTTGTACTAAGAGAAGGAATAGAGCTAAGTAACTAGTTATAATTATTTAATTAAATAAATTAAATTATTACTAAGAAATACTAGCTCTTTAAAAAGATTAAAAAAGACTTTTAATAGTAGTCTTTTAACTTAACTATTACCTAGTAGTAAATAAACCTTTTTTAGGGTAAGGGTAATAGTACCAGTAGTAAAAAGAAGACAGTACTACTATAAGTATAAATATAAAGTTAATAATAATTATAGATATATAGTAAGTATAGATTAAGGCTAGTAATACTATAGATAAGCTAGATATGTATTATATACTAGAACTACTTAGAAAAGACTAATAGCTATATAATTGTAGTATTAATAGATTATTAATAGTAACTAAATAAAGTAGAATAAGTTATAATAGCTTTATTTCTTAGGTACTAAAATATAGGGGGTACTAAAAAGTAGGTACTTTATCTTAATTTAATATTTAGCTATTAGTATATACTTAAAGCCTTTACTTAAACCTAAGGGTTAGCTTAGTAAACAAGCTTTTATATAGTCTTAATAAGAAAACAGAAAAACTATCTAAGTATATATTAGGAAATTTAACTAGTTATTAGTAGTGCTAATCTTTAGTTATATAACTTACCTTATATAACTTACCTTAGTAACTTACTTATACTATTATAAATATCTAAAGTAGTAACCTCTTCTCTTATTTATTATTACTATCTTTAACTAGTAATTAATAGTTTATTAATAGTAGTACAACTACTATGATTATAATCTGTATAATACTAACAGAGAAACTAAAGAAAACATTATGAAGCAAAATAGTGTAGACAGGAACTTATAATAAGGGAATATAACAGACAAGCTTTCTTTTTCTTCTCTCTTTAGCCTATAAGGCGGAGGTTCTAGTTTTAGTAACAAAACCCAAGCCATCGTATTCTATAGGGAGAAGATTCACGTCTGGCTTCTGATTAATACTTATTGTTTAGAGTGCAGTGAGTTCTTCTCTGCAAACATGTGTAAGCAAAGTCTTTAAGATCTAAGCAAGCAGTTAAGCGCGAGAAACATACAAGACCAACAGAGAATAGCTTTGTAAGGAACCCCAAGAAAGCAGCACGAACGTCATCACCTCATGTCTAAGCCATTGCTTTACTGTTAGTAGTATCTCTACGTTGCCATGTGCCTGTTGGTTGTGTTAATCCAGGGTGCTCAGGATTTGACCCAGCAAAGTCCTGGTGTAGCTTAACGCAACTGTCCATGGTTTGCCCTTTGCCTACTTCCATGGCCACCCCTATTGTTAGTGAAGCCATCTCGCGGCAGCATGGGGGGAGTGAGTCGGGTTTGTTCATCTCATGCCCGGAAGATTGTGAACGAAAGCTACCCGCCGACTTGGGACAGGTCCCGATTAAGATCTGCCACATTCTGCCGCAAAGAGTATCACTGCACCTGCGTCTGGTCAAATTCAAGCTCTTGAGCCACTTCTCCTCTCCCTTCTCGGCCGTCTGCCCTGTCATATCTCCCGCCTCTTGCTCCGGACTTATCGTAACAAGCCACCGAGATCAGACACAACAACAAGGGATGGGGGGTTAGCACAGTTTGACTCCTTCACCCACAACGACAGCACCAGTCTGTACATGAGCCATACTACTGACAGTAAGTAGGGGGTTTGTATTGATGAGCAATGCTGGGCAGGGAAAATTGGTACGCTCTTACATCTCCTTCCCCTTCTCTTCTAGCCAGCAGCAAATTTGGAACTTACTTTGCTACTTCCCTCTTACTCCTCCTCTTCCTCTTCCTCTTTCTGTTCCTCCCGGGCATCTCTCATGGTCAAATAATTAAAGGCGTCGGTAACGTACTCCTGCTCCCTCTCCTTGACCTCCTCTCACTTGGTTTCATTCAGCTGCTCCCAAAGCGCGCAGAGAAGGGTATCCCGGACACGCTCCAGTGTTAGCTGATCCTTGAATCGAAGTAGCCAGGGGTACGCCGAACCGTCGCCAGAGAAGTGATTGAAGACGAAGGACAGAAACCAAAAGTTGAAGACGGGGTTGATGTCCGCGACGATCGGGATCCCGAGCCAGGCCGGCCCTCCACGCGCGGAGGGCCTGGAGGAATCCACCAGGCCTCCCAAAATTCTCCAGAGCGCACCATTCACCGTGCTGTGTTCCTTAGTGGCTGCGTGGCTTGGGAGCCTCGAGAGGAAAAGTTTGCCCTGGGGCTTCAGCCATTCAGTATCCGACTGCAGACGCTTTTACTGTTGCCCGAGGACCTAGATACTGGGCGGACGGTATGGTCGTTCGCTGGAGGAAGTGGCTGCAGCGCGTGGGCGGGCGGTGTCATCAGGGGTTGGAGAGGAACTTCTCGGTCATGCGTCCACGGCAAGGACCCGGCTGAGGATGAAGGGCGGGAACTCAAAGTTGAAGACGGGGTTCATGTCGGCGACGATTGGAACGCCAAGTCAGGCTCGATGCTTGGTTTCAGTCTGGAGCCAGTATTCCTCTTTGCTAATCTCTGTGACAGCGGCGGCGACAGTGGCACCCTGCTGGACAAAGGAACCGGAGAAAAGTCGAAGAAGTGTAGCTCAGCTGCAAAGATTCAGGGGGCTGCAGGTTATTCAGCAGCGGCCTCGGGGGACGCAGCCGTTTGGAATAAAGGTATTTTACTGCGAGCGGAGTGCGAAAGTGCAGGGAGGGATAATTATATAGCGGCCCCGTTGGTGGTGGCGTTCGCAAGGTGCCTTGGTGGGCGGCGGCGGCTAGGCTGACGACTTCGAGGGATTGTAGAAATGGCATTGACGGAGTTTGCTGATGACAATGAGAGGCGGCATATTGGATAGCATGGTTTTGGAGGGATTGCAGAACCGGAGTTTGGCGGCTCGAACATCTGAACTGAGGCAGGAATAATGTGGATGGAAGAAGCTTGATAGAAGACGTTGGAAAGTCGTCTCGCGGTGAGACAGGGAGGAAGAGAAAAAATGAGGCAGGGGATAGACAGGGCAGGCGGGGCAGGCGGGGCAGGCATGCACCTGGCTGTAAACGCAGCTTGTGGAAGGGGCCTATACATATCCGTACTTCCTTCTACCTTTACTAAGACTGCCCCGGATTGATTGATCCGCCAGCGCGCGCGCGCCATCAAGTCTAGTTACAGTTGCGCGCCAGTCCACACACTCAGTGTACGTAAATCGGATTAGATCAAGCTCCTGCCTCAGTATTCGCGCACATGATCCGTGTTGGCTTCAGAGTATTGGCGCGACGCGACTTTGAAATCAGTGACGATATTTGATTCTTGGCTGGAGTCGTTGGAGTCGCCAGTCTGGTCCACCGCCGTCGGACCCCGCTTCAGCTGAGAGACCTAGAATAAGGGCCTGATCGGCAAAACCGATATCAGGGCGATATCGCCCGTACTCCGATACAAAAGTACATAGGGTTAGGGTTAACGAGAGTTTAATATAAGGTTAAAGGTTAATTTAGCGAATGTACTGCCAGGACCCCTGCAACAGCTGCCAGCAGCTATGCCTTACTAACACCACTACTGCCAGCGCCCAGCTGCTAGCGCCTACCTACTGTTACTAGCGCCTGGCTACTAGCGCCTTTCTACTATTGCCTACTGTCGCTAGCAATAGTAAGCAACAGTAGGTAGCTACTAGCAACAGTAGGTAGGCGCTAGCAGCCAGGCGCTAGCAGTAGTGGGTAGGTGCTAGCAACAGTGGCTAGCAGTAGTAGGCAACAGTAGGTAATCTGCTATATTAGTCCTTTTCAGAAGTTTAACCTAACTCTAGAGCCTAATAACAATTTATATAGAGAGAGCAGGGGATTTAGCAGATTTCTAGCAAAAAAGGTCACAGTACGTAGCCTATTCTAATATAATTAGGGTTCTATAATATAGAACTAAAATCATAATGTACCCTCCTGTTTTTAGCCTAGTGCAGCACAATTTAAGTTTTTTATAGCTAGTGCTTAGTCCGTAATATTAGTCCTTATTCAAAGTGTCAAATAATATCGGCAGTGCTAATCAGGCCCTAAGTAACAAATTCTAACAAGCCTCTTTAAATACATTATAATCGTGCCCAGGCGCCATACCAGCAGAGTAGATATTAGTCACAAACGCTAGAAAAGGGATTAGTAGGAGGATAGGTGCAAAATAGTTACCTAGGACTTAGTCCTACTTATTTACTAGTTACTAGGGAGGTTAAAAGAAGTAAACCGTCGTTTTCCCATTAGTATGCAGTTAACTTCAGTAGTCAGGCATCCGCATAGAAACAAAGTGTGTTATTCAATAAAGCCATTACATCCAATTCCGCGTTTCTCAATATTAAAGACCTCGCGCGTAGTTATACTATCACCAAACATTTAATACATGTATGTTTTGAATATTAAATAGGTGATTCATGAGAGACAAGTCCTCGGCTCTATATACCACCAAATTCAAAATTGCAATGTAATTAACACTGGCTATAACCAGCCTTAGATTTGAGAACACGGGCTCAAAGCTGGGAAAGGAAAACCCGAATACTTAAATCCAAGTTAGACCTATGTGCTAGAAACATCATCACTTTAGTTAACCATAAATAAGACAGACAAGGCACGGCACAGAATTTGAAATAACGAACGCGCATCCGACCGCCGCAGTAAAACAGTATGATTAACACAGGACAAAAGCAAACAGAAGCAACAGATAAACAGCAGAAAACCAGAACCAACACCACTGTCTCTTGCCATACTTGGTCTTGGCCCTCTTTGCAAGGAACTGGACTGTGGTGTCGACGAGGTCGTCGGCGATGTTCTCCTTTGCGGGGGGCGTTGGCGCGGAGCTGCTCACGGAACACCTTTTCGAGCCTCTTGAGGCGGCTGGTGATGGTCGCTTATGTCGTTGGGCAGACGGGCGTCCCCGGACGCGACAGGAAGTGCGCGATGATGAGATACTTTGGCACCATGGGCCTCATGCGCGGCGGCGGCGACGGCAGGGCTCTGGCAGCAGGGGGAAGGGGGGGGGGGAAGGGCCAAGACCGTTGTCAAGGTCGAGGGCGAGTTCGACGTCGGGAGCAATGTAGTCACCTGCGTCCTCGATGAGGGACTTGGCCCTGGGCATCCCGTAAGGGAGCTCGGGCGCTGGTTCGGGCGGGGGCAGAGGTGATGCCGAGCTCGTTCTTCGACATCTTGTGGGCGGTCTGGGCGGCGAGGCGGGTGAAGACCTGGTTCTGCCTCTCAAAGATTGCTCATATTATGACGCCCTGGTGACCTTTGGTCTGGTTCCATAGGTCGTTGAGAGGCATGCGTGGGCGATGCATCTGCCAAAAATTGGTCATCTCAAGCATGGCTTTGACCGGGCTGAGGGCTGGGGGCCAGCTGGTGGTGCCATACGCCGTTGGGTCAGGTGTTCCTCAAATCGCGGAGGAGCCTTTGGAGTCGGTTGTCTGTCTGCCGGCCTTGGCTTGACACTCCGTTCTTCCATGACCGAGACAATACCTACGGCCGTTTGCTCAACGTGATGCTTGAGAGCAGCGGCTTAGTCAAGAGCGGCGCGGGGAACGGCGGCGTGTGCCCAGGAGGCGAGGCTGTCATCTGTTGGGAACTGGTAGATTGTGAATCATGCTCTAATAGTATACGTTAGCCTCAATTAAACCATCAGAGAAACATTAAGGGGTTTGTGTGGAGTAAGCAATGTGTAGAGTCATCAATCCGTAAAACAGACGAGGAAAAGAAAGACAACATTAGCAGTAGTTAGTATACTTACGTTTATGCCCTTCTCAGAAGGAAGTTTCTCGGAGACACGACCCCGGGGTACTTTGGCGTGCTGGTCATTACGCCCCACTAAAATGCGCACTGAACATCTTGAATAAAGATAGAGAGAGAGAGAGAGAAAGATGTTGACGAACAGAAATAACAGATTGTGGAAGTGGATAGACCGAACAGATAGACAAACAGAGGGGATAGATAGACAGCTAAAGAAAGAAAAATCGAAAAGGAAAAGACGAAACTGACGAAACCGACGAATGGTTGAAGGCTGACGGCCGAAGGTCGAGAGAAAAAGAAAAGGAAAGAAGAGGGAAGAAAGAATTTCACATCCCCGACAAGGAAGGATATCCTACTTCCTTGTCCATTTCTGCCTTAGGTGGACCAAACCGTCCGGGTTGTCACGTGGTCAATGAGTGAATAAGTAATCTAGCGAGGGAGAGAATGAGAGTGAGAGAGTCTGGCAGAGGCATAGTGTGGAACGGCAGCGAGATGCCCATTAATAGTGGTCATGTAAGTGCCCCTCTTGCCCATGTCTACAACCATGGAGGACTGGTGGACGAGAGATAAGATGGCATGACGTCAAAATGGCAACTACTGACTCCGGCTTAGTCTACATCCTTAATGGGAACAGACCATAGCCAAGGAAGCAACCTTCCTTGCTTGCACAATGGCACAAGCACAGATTGAGTGTGTGATTGGCGCGTGAGGGTCGGTACCATCTTCTGAGGATGGTACAGCTCTCTAACTGGCCGCAGTGCCACAGGCAGTCGCCAGAAGCAGGACCATGACTTTGCAGACTAGGTACTTGTAGTTTAGGGTTCTGAAGGACGGACATGGTACGGGACTCACCGCCTGGCGGAAAGGTCTAATACGTCCCTTCTGCACACTTGCTTTACCCACTCACTCCATGACCAAAAAGCCATTCGGCCCCATCGCGATAGGGAACAGTGATGCCAGCCTAGACACCCTTACAAAGCAAAGGAGACGTCGTCAAGGAGGCAGCAGCAGCATCGGCCGCGACATGCACTTCAGCAACCTTAATCCACCTTGAAGAACTCTTTGCGACAGAGGCCGAGAATCCCACGACATGACAAAAGCTGACAGCAAGGACGACGAACACGACAACAACGACGTGAGGAAAGAGGACTAGATCAGCCCAAGCTACAGGCACAACTGCAAGCAAACGACGAGCAACTAACGCCATAGGAAGTCGCCCTCAGGTCGCTGACGGAGGCGTCAAAGCCTGCACCTGCTGCATAATTGACAACCCAATACACCCACCCTGCCGAAGTGAAAACTCAGGCGATGGATGACCTGCAGAAACCCCCTAGCAAGCGGATCCTGAGACGATTGAATCCGATGACGGCTGACGACCTTTACGCCAAGGTAAGCCCGTTCCAACAGGCAACGCCCTGAACCACCTGCTCATCCGATATATAACGACTACCACCGGCTCTTGGTAACCACGTCGCTTATCTCTCGACCTTATGGCAGATGATGGACGCCGTTCGTCCTTATCCCAGATTTCATCGCCTGCCATTCCTTCCTCTACACACCGCAAGACTAGCCCCAAGCCATCCGTCCAATCTTTTATCACACTCAATTGACTACATCTGTTTCCTCTCTTCCGACGACAAACGCACGTCTCACTCCCTCCCCCCGTTGGCTTCACGCCTAATGAGATGGAGGCGTTGGGAACAAGGACCTAGTAATCCTGTTGCAAGCCCCAAAGCTTTTCACCATCATACCGCCAGAGCTTGATTCACTGGGAGTCTTGGCAAAACGAGATCATATGGCGATGAGCGATGTGCTACATGAGTTGGAGCTGACAAGCAAAAAGTCAAATGAGCTTCCAGAGCAAGGATACCCATCGAGAACACAAGGTCGGAATGGACACGATACGTCGGAAGGACTACAATGCGGATGGATGCATCACAATGATTTGGATGGGTGTATAATGGGATGCAGATGGTATTTCCCTACTATCACCATCAACAACATCATCAATGTCCTAGTTGGCCGCCGAAGCCGCTGCTGTCAATTCTCCACACTTTTGAAATGCTTTACTCGAGCACTGACGCGGTGATTGACTGGCTTACTGCCGTTGCCTGCGCAAAGAACTGTCACAAAGCCTTCAACCCCCCGGCATTTGAGCGCAAACGTGCAATCTAAGACGAGAACGACGACAACGACGACGACGACGACAGGAGCCATATCCAGAAGCGTATTCAAATAGTCCAAGCCTGCTTACAGCACAAAGCAAACTTGCCAGCTTGTCTCCTCTTATCTCTAAGTTCAGATATAGCGCCCTTAGCTAGTAAACACCTACTTAATAACAACGCTAAAGAAACTTATATTTAAATATAATAGAATATAATAATAATAATGTCTTATAGGCTAGATTTTTAGATAGCCTTAAGGATATAACACTATAGCTGTCTGCGCTCTAATAAAAGCTAGCCTAGGCCGCGTGGCGTAATAACCTTTTTAGTTAGACTAGTAGCTTAGCTAGCTAGGGGTCGCTATTAACTTCTAGTAAGTTATCTCCTAGTAAGAAAATTAGAAAGGTATATACTAAAGAGATAGGGTTTATTTAGGCTAACTTTATGTTATATTAGGATATAATACAACTAGCCTTTTAAAGTATATATAATAATATTATATATATCTAAAATAGAAGATATATTTTACTTACTAATACTAAAAATAAAGTCCTTCTAATTATAGTGCCCTCCTTAAGCTTAATATTTACTAACTCTTACTATAATTAGTAGCTATTATCTCTTAATATCTCCCTTAATATATTTACTATTATCTTAAATATTAAATTCTAATTAACTTAGTATCCCTTATATAGTTTTATAGCTTAAACTTATTATTACGCTATATAATACTATTTTAACTAAAAAAAGGAATCTTCCTAGAACTAAGAGGTCTATAGTCTATTACTTTTATAGGTTTACTACCTAAATAATAAAAAAAGCTTTATTAACTTTAGATACTAGTGCATATTATATTTAGTAGTTACTTATTAAGACTATATAAAACTAATATTAAAGGGCTATAGTATATTTACTAAAGTAGTTAAGCTATAAAAGCTAGCTAACGCCCCTGCTTTAATAGTAGACTACTATATAATTATTTACCTAGACCCTATAAGCGCTAAGGCAAGTGCTATAGCTATATTAAAGGCTAGCTGTCCTAGTAACTCTATAAACCACACTAACTAAAGTAATTTAATATAAAACCCTATATTTATGTCTATTAAGACTAAGGCTTAAGGTAAAGATACTATTAAGGGGATATAGCAGATAGTAACTTAGTAAGCGTGTCAGTAGCAAAGTCTCCAGGACCTCAACCTAGCTCTATAGTGTAACGCGCTTAGCTTCCTTCTAGGCATCTTTATCTAGGGACATAAATAGTTCTTTATAGCGTCTATACCTAGGACCTTACCTCTTTAGTTAGTATATTTTAACAAGATCTTAGTTAGAATATCTAGTAATCTATATAGAATTTATAAAATCTTAGCTATATTATATTATCTTTAATTATAGGCAGAAGAGCTATACTAGCTAATATATTATTAGCGTCTCTTAATAATAACTTATAACTTATAATAGCAGAACTAGCCATAATTCTCTGTTAATGCCTCAGTGGATGTAGTAACAGCCAGATGCACACCCTATCTTGATCGTTTGGTCCGCAAGGCATATCCAGCTCAGTCTTGCTGACGAGTGCCTAAGTAAACAACAGTGAGTGGGCGAGCAGTCAGTGTGTTCCTCCGGGTAGCCTAGCAAGATGATAAGAAGAGATATTCTGACCGCTGCGGTGTATTTTTCCCCGGAATTACGTCAGAATGTTATTGCTGCCCAAGGAGATCCAGAGAGTGACTGCAAAGAAGAAAAGATTTTAGGAAGCAGTTGCCTGACTAGATTGGCTGGGTAGGTGGTGCATCAAAGAGCTGTGGCTTTAGTTGAAGCTGAGGCCGTCGTTGAGGCGATATTTATTGCTAAGACCTTTGTCTTTAAACCCTTCTAGATACTCATCATGTCTACTATTGTCTCGTCTCCTGCTCTGCCACCTTGTTCAACAATACAACACATCTCACAGGCCCTTCTCATTTTCTTCTCCTATGCTTGACTGTTCGGTTCCGTCAGCCCTGAACTGGGGATAATGATGATGGCGATCATGCTGCCAACCGGCGCAACAGTATCAGCGTTTCCGCTCAGGCCATCACCAAGGCCTTCAGAGGCACCTTTATGCTGTCTAATGTCTCCCCCTTAAGTCTCAGCTTAAGAGACAGCTGCTATCTGGACTTAAGCATTTCCCCTGTAATCCTGTTTTGAGTCCAGATGACGACGTCTTTGTTATAGAATTAGCTATTGGCTTTTTTGAACCTCTTGACAGCCTTCCCTCTACTCCGTTGCCTCCCGTTCCCTTCCTCTGATATTATCTTGTAGATGCACAATTTGACAATTAAACAATTTCTGCTCCGCAGATTAGTACCGGTTATCTTAGAAAAGTGCCTGTTATCTACAATCTACCTCAATAGTCATTCATCCAACTCGCTCTTGGCAAGTCTAGTTGGAAGAATGCCTGGAATCGCTGCTAATCACCGGCAGAAAAGTGATACGCAACTGCTTGCCCATGGAATACACACCTTGACTTACATGTTTTTAATTACACCACAAAACAACAACTCGCTGGACGACGATTATGGCTGGAACCAACTAGGACCTGACTATATCTTCCGCTGCAAAGAACTCTCTAGTCAACTACGCTATTGTCTGCCCTCTCCCTAAATCTTTAGCTGCCGCATACCCCAGCCCATTAAAAGTGCACATGTCTACGTGTCCGTGCGATGTTAGGGTCGCTGTCATTATTACTAACGCTGGCTACTGTGTAAGAAACTTCCGATAGCCTTACATCTCCCTTTTTAGCGACGAGCCCTTGTTACAAATATCATAATCTAATATTTTTATCGTCTAAACTACTAGAAACCTCTTAACTGCAACAAAAGCTTATAGTCACTAGAGAAGTAATAGAATTACATAGAACGTTTAGGCCTTTTTTTCCTCTACGCTAAGGTATATACGTTTGTAAAAGTATAACTTATTAGCAGTCGTAAATACCTTGCCATAACTAAATTTAGGATTACTACTAGAATACTATAGGATACTAGTTACTTTTTTAATACTGCTAGCAAGGCGTATATCTGTGCTACTAACCCTAATTAGGGATTATAAGACATCATCCTTGAAGTATTTGCCAAACACATAGGCCCGCTCGACCAGTAATAGACCAACGTTGCTGTTTAAGAAACAGTGCTCACTTGCTTATAATCTCCTTGTGTAGTTTTACCTAGAGGGTAAAGTTCGGTATTAAGATATCTAAATAACTTTTGACCTTCTGTGGGGATGAGCTGTAGAAGTCTGTGATTATGACTAAGAAGTCATAGTAGAGCTGTTATTTCTTTGGCCACAACTGCTGCTATGTGTTATATTTAAAATCATGTCTCATGCTATCTACCCTGTTTATCTCTTTATATCCTTTTTAAAAGGTACACCCCGCCAAGTGACCATCCAGGCATCCGGCCCCAGCCATCATAACAGCCCATACTAAAGGTAGAAGGTAACTACTAGGGGGTAAATCTAACACATCTATATAGTAGCACTGCTATTACTTGTTACTTTCTACTGCTATTAAATACATTTAAGCAGAGCTGAACATGAAATTATCAATTAGCACTGTAAGGGGTCCTAGGGTCTAACAGGAAAAGACTGCCTTAGTAGTTATATATAACTTGTAGTACTGTTTGTAAGAGATAGCATACTAATACTTACTATCGTCACACTAGGGACGGCTTTTATGTTCATATTCCCCTTCTAACACAACAGAGTTATACATGTAGCAGTCAAAGTTAACGTTCTTGGTCCTAATCACAGGCATGCCCATCATCCTCCACAAGAGCGCCTCCTTAATCGTGATCTCAGATGCTATCAGAGGCTTAGTCTTGACCTTGTCTATGTCTATATAGCTATACCTGGCCGGGCTGCTGGCCCTAAGGTAGCGCATCATCAAGTTTACGTCCTTAAACGACTTGAAGACGCCATTTATAGCCTTGCCTAGGTTATTAACTATAGACACGATCGTGAGCTTGCGCTTGAACCTGTTGTAGATTCTGATTATATTGCCTATATACCTTACGGCCAGGGATATGTAATTAGCCTTCCTCAAGTCATTCACCCTCGCCTTCCCGACCCCAAGCTTGACCGTGTCCATGTCCAGTCTCGGGACGACGGAGTTGGTCGTAGCTCCGACGATGCCCCTTGACGAACTTCTTCTCCAGGTCCGGGATGCTGCGCCTGGTCTCGTTCACCAGCACAGTCTCGAGCCTCATGGCGCACTTGGCCGCGATCGTGCTCAACTACTCAGACGTCCATCCGAGCTCGCTCGCCCTCGAGCCAATGTTCCTGCCCCCAACCGCGTGGTAGTTCTTAAGCTGGTTCGTGGGCTGGGTCGAGTGCGTGGGTGGGGTCTTGGTCGCCTTCGCCTTCTCCTCCAGGAGCGCCAGCTTGCCCTTGGCCTTGGGCTGCTTGGGAGGAGGAGGACGAACTCGGCTGCGGCTGCGGCTGGGGCTTCTGCTGAGGGGCAGGATCAGGAGCAGGAGCGGCCGCATCTTTATCGTCCTCGCCGCTGCTCTCGCTCTCGTTCGTGTCGTTGACCTTAGCTATCTCCAGGGCCGCAGGCAGAGACTTAATCCTGGTCGAGCTGTCGTTCATGACCTTGAGCGCGGTCTTGGATGGGCTGTTGTTTATAGACATGGTCAGGTTTGTGGTTGGGTTGATGTTGCTGGTTGTAGTGTTGCTGCGGCGAAGAGCGGGATTGCGTATGAGACTTATAGGATCTTTGTGTGTCACACATACCACATCGTATTCAGAGGTCAGGCCTCGATCAGGTTTTAGATAAGTACGTAATAATGGTCTAGTGCTCTAGCCGGCTTAGGTTGTACTACAAAATCATGTTGAAAAGCTTATCTAGCTCTTTTGACTAAATATAGTCTAGGGTTATGTTGCGTTTTAGTTATGTATGTGTCTAAGTTTGTGCTTATGTAGAAACTATTGCCTAGTCTAAGAACGTGGCGTTCTTGAGGAACTTGCTGATGTCCTTTTACATAGCCAACTTCACGATCTTAAGCGCTGTCATGAGCATGGCTGAGTACATGTCCTTACACCCCTTATAGATTATGAAGTAGATGTTCTTCTTAACTAGACTCTCGCTTGTGTACTTAGTCACGAAGTTAGTTATGTTGAAGAACTAGGACTAGCCTATGCAATTGAACACAACCACGCTCAGCAGCTTGCCCGTCATCGTGCAGTTAGCAAGCTACACGTTTAGGAGCAAGAAGTTGTACTTGGTTGTGTCTGGGTTCCAGTCCGTAGTGTCGATCGGAGGGATGGGCTTGTTGCAGATCTCGCTCCCGTTCTTGTCCTTATTGTAGCAGCGCATTAAGACCCTGCCTAAGTTCCTGCACTTGAAGCAGTGCGGCTGGTAGTACATGCACATGTCCGTGTTATTCCTCTGATTCGTGGTCAAGATTCCGTCGTAAATGTGTTGTTGTTCGTGACAGCAAGCTTGGCCGTGACTCACTCATGAACGTGGTTGTGTTCATGCCTGAGAATGCGGTCTTGGTTGTGTTTTGAGCATGCTCCAGCGGATGGTCACGTTCCTATGCATGACCTAGATAGCCCTCTTTACGGCGGTGATGCGCTTGGAGATGACCAGAGCGATGAGGTTGTTGTTGTTGTTCACGTTCAGAACCGGGATCATGTACGGGCCTTTCTTGTACCCCATCATGTGGTTTGCGCACAGAACCGTGATCTCGTACTCCTCCCTGTCCAGCCTCCAGATCACATTCTCCGCGTCAGGCATCTGCATGTCACAGGCGGCGCGCTTGCTTATAGGGCCATTACAGACTTAGAACAGACTCATGGCCTTAAACTTGACGTAGACCTTCTACATGTACTTGCATATGCCCGCGTTCTTGTGTGTGTTCTTGGTCCTAATCGTGGTCTTCAACAAGGTCTTAATCAAGCAGAAGACGTGTTCGCAGGTTGTTCGTCCTCATCGGCCAGTGTTACACCAAGGTTAGCTCTTGACCACGTCCATGTTTTTCATCAAGCAGTCAATCAGGTTCGTAGTATAACCCTTATTCTTGTCTAAGTGCATGCCGTAGACTACACGCGCGATAGGGTGGCTAATCCCGTACCTGATATCGCCGTTGCCCGCCTTCCCGCTCTCGATCATGGGCGTCGGCAAGATTCCATACCTCATCTTGCATGCGTCGTCAGGCTGGCCGCAGAGCATAATGGTGAAGGTATCCTTAGTCAAGCAGATGAACCTCATATAGTAGCACATGTTCACACACAGGTCCGTATGCACAATCCATTGCCTGCGGAACATCGGCTTGTTGTTCGTGTTTTGAACGTATGCGAGTACCCGTTCCTGTTCAAGTCCCCGCACAAGCTATAGACCCTGCCCCTGTATATGGTCATGCTCACGTCGTACTCGCTGTTGAACATACAGGGAAAGTTTGTGACTCTGCGCTCAGGTATGATCGTGTTTGACTGCGACTCGTCGCAGTAGAGGATGGTACCGCGCAAGACGTAGTTCAGGGCGCGACCTCGTCTAGGACCACGCTATCGTCCATGAACCCCATGATGGACATAAACAACCACGAGAACCCGAGGCGGTGCCTGATGATGGTGTTTGTCTTGTTCTTGTCAACATACCCGGGATGGGCCATGTCCATGTTCCCGTCACGCACTTCTAGTTGCAGAACACGAGCTTAACCACGCTTATCTCCCCGCAGGAATAGCAGATGGCGACCATGTACGAGCACATGTTGACGGGCAAGCTCAAGTCCGTGTTCGAGTTCGTGTTGCAGGCTCGACCTGTCGTGTGTGTTTTTGATTGGGTAAGTGCCAACACTCTTGTCCATGACCTATCACGAGATTCTACCCACGTCGAGGGTGTTGTAGCCAGTCAAGTACCTCGCTGTGCTCCCATCCTAGTGCTTGAACAAGATTGCATTTATGGTTATTTCTTGATGAAGTCGCTGCGGATCTCAAGCATGATGTTTTAGGGTTGTACCCGTCGTCTGGTGGAATCCAGTGCGAGATGCTGCCTGGGTTCTTGAGATGCCGCACTTGCAGCCGTTTGAGATGCAGTAGGACATGTGCCAGGGCCTGACCTCAGACGAGTCGTTACACATGACGCAATACCCGGCTAGTTAGATGCAGTTGTCAAAATGGTGAACATGGCGATAGCCATGGATGTGTGAGAGTACGTGTACGTTCCAATAAACGCATGCTGCGCACAGGGAGATGAACCTGGGCATCGTCTTGTTGTCGATGGCACCCTCAGGCAGCAGCTTCTCCTTGCCTAACTTCTTCATGTTATAGATGACAAGCCTCCTCCTGGTGCTGTTGTTGACAGCCTTCTTCTTGTAGGACGGGATCTTGTTTAAGACCACTACCAAGATCTGCGACAGAAACGTTACACCCTTATCCTCCGAACAGGACTGGGGCGTCGGACGTCCACATCTTGATGGGCTAGTACAAGGAGAAGTATGAGGGCGTGCTCTGGGATGGCGAGCTGGACACGAAGGAGCTAACACCCGTGAAGAAGGACACGCTCCCGATCGTAAGGTACGTCATGCGCAAGGTCCTGAAAGTGATCAACAGCGAGCTCGAGCGAAGGTCAAGGCCTTGATCCAAGTTCATCGGCGGGGTCATGCTCTCGGTCCAGAAGCCCAAGAGGTCGATGGTGATGGAGAAGAGGATCAAGTGCCAACCCCACCTCGTGTACGAACGGGAAGACGCAGAGCATTTCGATCGACATCAGGGAGCAGATAGGAGACGTAAACAAGATAAGGAGGATAACGAGCGCGGTCGACGGCCTGCTGACAGCCTTTAGGGTCAAGGTCTTGGAGATATTGTTCGCCTACAACTCGATCAGGAAGACGAACGTGCGCCGCATGAACAACCACTAGTGCATTACGACGTTCTGGATGACCTCACGGTCCTGGTTGTGTTATATTCCTGAGCAAAACCAGCTTCTCGGGCTGTTCGCGAGCTGCCGACAGCATGTGCGCGCGCATGGACGAGGTGAGATTCTCCATGTCGATGTCACCCTCCATGCTCATATTCATGTTCGACGAGAGCATCGAAATGACTACGGAGCTGACCTTGGCGTACTTGGGGTTCATCTCCTTGTCCACCTACCCGCTCGTGTCGTTGTTCATGACCTTGGTCTTGGTCCATATCCCGGACAAGTCCCTGGACTCCAACGTAGCCGTGGTAAAGGTCACAAACCACAGCTTACACCTGCCACTACGGGTGGAGGGGCATCATCTTCGACTCTACTGGATGGGAGACTCGCGCGGGGAGGGGACGATGACAACGCCAGCAGGACCGCGCATATGGACCACAACGGGTTCATCGACGTGTGCTACACCCGCAGCCATAAGGACGGTCAAGCGATCGGGAGGATGACCCATATCAGGCACATGGCCGTCTTCACGCACCACTTCCTCAATCAAGATGCCGCGCGGGAAGATGCACAAAGACTGACTGGCTGACTGACTACCTACACAAGACCTGACAAGCCGATAATGCCACTATGTATCACGAGACGTTCTCTCTCTCTCTCTCTCTCTCTCTCTCTCTCTCTCTCTGTCCGTCCAGATTTGTAACCCCAACTCGCGGCCCAAACCTTCTCCTGAAACAATTATTCTGATCCAAACACGGCCGCATGTGCCTCGTAGTCGGCCTCGATGGCCATCCGCCACGCCGAGAGAGACGCGTCCACACTCCGCCGAAACCGCTCACGGCGTTGATCCTCACCTTGCCGCTGTTTCGTGTCTGTGGACCAATCGTCTTGCGACACTCTTGTGTCGATGGTCATAACAGTGGTCGGCGCAGCCGGCGCGAGTGTCACTGCGCCGCGACTCCTGCCATCAAATAGCGATTCGGCCGATACAACCGTCGTCGGAGCACTAGGTCTTGCCGTGGTGGGTGTGAAGGAGATTTCCAGCAGGTCACCACGGCCGGGGGAAGTGCACCAGCCGTCATCATGACCGACGACGACCGACACCGCCACGGGGCTGCCGCGCAGCTGCTGATACTGAACGAGGTCGAGGTCGAGGGGGGCGGGTCCGAGAGCCACCGACGCCGTCTGGCGGTCCCGATCAGGCTCGATGCGCCGGCCCTCGTCGTTTGCATGTTTTGCGTGCGCTCCTAGATTGCCGAGCAAGACTTGTTACCACTTGAGACTTGGACCGCAGGAGGGCGCACTGAACGAACCCAAACCATCAACATACCCTGCGGACGGCGGCGTCGCCGGAACACGCCTAATGCCCATGGAACCCAGTTGAAAGGTGATGGAATCCATCCCGAACGGCGTCACGCGGCTTCGGGGGGTCCTTGCTGACGTTGGTGTTGTTGGCGTGGCAGGTCTTGTTATCCAGGTGGACGCCACTTCGGAGCGAGCGGGGGTCACCTTGATGGGATCTAGTAGTGTGATAAACACCAAGCTGTGATTGAGAGCGATGACGCCTTTGCTGGCGGGAGTGGAAACAGAGGGTTCACATACCAAGCATCTCCTTCTCCCAGGGGTCCAGCTTGCCTAGTTCCTGGCGGAGCCAGGTCTTGATTGTCTCGGCGCTGCCAAACCACCTTTGCGTCAGGGTTTCGTTGAAGCGATACTGGTCAGGGGCATCTTGAACGACGACTGCGTTGGCGAGAACCCATCTGCGCGCGTAGTGGCGGACGAGGCGGCAGAAGCGCGCGTGGACAACGCGCCCAAACTCTTCGCCATGTTCCATGTTGCAGGTAATGCGCAGCACAGGCAACACCCGCATCGCCATGTTTTCGCCATCGGCGTTGGGCGGGAGAATGCCGTAAGTGAAGAGAGCGTGAAGGATCTGGGCGCGAACACAAAGACACCATCTGATACTAGCGTCCGACTTGGACTCCTGATAGTAGTCAAGGCTTATTCCACAAACCGTCTAACTTAATGTTAGCTAATTAAACCAAGCAGGTCTAGTTGGACTGACCGTAGGACAAAGACAAGCAAGGCCTTAAACCTTATGGGAATTGTTGCGACACATTCTGGTCAATCTTCTAAAGAACAACAATACAATACGCACTTTGGAAGAGCAGAGAGCCAAGCAAACGCCGTCGAACAGGCGTACACGTCTGCCTACCTTGAGAGGCCTTTGGGGAACTTTCTTCCTAAAGAAAGAGAGCAGGCGATGGCCATGATGACGGTGACGGACTTCTTTTGGCCTTCCTTTGAGAGCTCTGCCTGACCACCTTGATGGGGCGTACCGAGCGCTGCTGATGGCGCGTCACTGCGAACACTTCCTTTGGCTGCAGCGGCTGATCCCTATATTTCACCTGCCTGGCTGCCAGCAAGGCGGTGTAGGGCTGCAAACCAAGGACAAATCAGCATTGTGAGGGAGGAGATGTCTGTATGTATGTACGTATGTCTGGGACCGTTGTACGGGCAGCAAGCTGCTACTCCACAGAATCAAGGCAGCCGTCAAGCTAGGTTAATAGGTTAAGCAAAACCACAAGACACAGACCAGTGCCCCAGGCGTTCATGTCTCATGCCGCTTGTTTGCTTGCCATGGTTGATGCTTATGCGGCCGCGCCCGCTTGGTCGTCTTGTTGGCGGCGTTTATGTCTGATGCCGCCTACTTAAACTGCTTGTTGCCGCCTACCTAAACTGCTTGTTGCCGTTAGTATTTAGTTGCTATGCCGTCTGCCTTTCACCTGGAGCTTTCATTTTGCCCATCACTATCCCTATTGACTGACAACTGGCGTTCGTGTCTTGTGCCATTGCCACTCAACTGTTGCTGGCGTTCATGTGTCAGGCCGTCTCTGCATGGCTCCGTTGCTGAGCCGTTCTGTGATGGAGTTCATGCGTTTAGGGTTATGCCCATCTTGTCTCTTGGCCACTGGCGTTTATGTTCATGAGGTGTGCCATAGGGCTGGATTCTTTACGGAGCACGTGCCTGCTCGAAACCTTCCGTTATGGCCAAGTGAGCAAGGACTACGGACAAGGAGGACTGGCATTACTATATTTGACTTATTAATTTCCCACCTATGTCTTCTCCTCCTTCTTTGTCTTCTTCTCTCTGCTCACATTCTCCGACTGAAGACTGACAGATGAAGCCCTGTAATCAGGGGTTCGGACACATTTCAAGATAAGGACTGAAGTATGATGGCGCGTTATTAGGGCTTGCACAGAAATCCTATCTCACGGCCGAAGCGATAACTCCCCCTGTCAAATGTGGCGGAATTACACGTGAATTAACCGGCGAATGCACGGTTGCCCTACGGCGAATCATCAGGGAATGGGCGGTGAATTAGCCCCACTTTCGGGGCAAGTCTACTAATAATATCGCCAGGATTGGCCGGGGATTTCCTAACTAAGAAATAGGAGGTTTTCCTTATTTCTATAGTAATTTACTATAGATATATAACATATAATAGAATTAATTAATTAACTATTATAATCCCTACTATTTAATAATTAATAGTCTAATATATACGTCTATAATAACTAATATACTTATTTACTAATTAAATACTATTATAATAATTAATAAGAACTATAATAATAAGGTAACTATCTTATAATTATATAGTAATTAGTTTATATAGCTTAACGCTATCTAAGTAAAAGTAAAGCGTTATAATCTTTAGAAGTATATTAACCTAGAGGTTATAGCAGCAGACTAATTAATCCTTAAGATAGATCTAAAGAAACTAATAAAGCTGCTTATAATATAATATCTATACGCCTTAACTAAGGATAAGCTTACTACTTACTAAGAGGTTACTATAGCTATAGTAATTACTAAGATATCTTAGTAAGTAACTATATAGCTATATATAGTAAGAAGTAAGGCTATTATAGCTATACCTAATAGGCTTATATATAAAACTAAATACGTAATAACGCTAGATAATCTTAACCTATATAATCTTATATACTTAAATAGCTAAATAAACTACTATTATAAAGAAGTATATAAGTATATTACTTAGCAAAAGGATATTAAAGATATAGCTAGTATAGTTAAATTTACTATATCTATAGATCTTTAAGAAAGATATTATAAATCTAATAAATTACTAGCTAAATAGCTTAATAAGCTTAGTGTAGTAGTAAGAATAACTAAAGAAAAGCATATAAAGTATGTCTATAATAAATATAGTAAAGTGTTAGTAAAAGCCTAGTAAAAGGCCTTAACTACTAAGAAAAATCTTACTATATAGCTTAATAAATAGAATATAGCTTATAGTAAATTAGTATAAGTTAATTTACCTAACTACTAATAGCTATTAATTTAGTTTAATAACCTTACTACTGCTTTATAAAGCAGTTTACTTAGCACCTAGCTAGATTTATATATAGTAATAAGTAAAATAATAAGTAATTAGAATAATCTTAACTAGTAGTCTCTTTATAAGATAGTACTAGAGAGGGTTAAAGCCCTTACTAATAACTAACTATATTATAGCTAAGCAGGCTGTAGCGTATTTAGCCTAACTAGAGGTAATAATAATAATAACCTAACGCGCGCTAAAGGTGTAGTAAAGGATAGTAAATTTAATAATAAGAGGTATTACTACTAATAAAGTGTAAATAAAAAGGTAAAGTGCCTTATATACTTTAGTGCCTATTTATTATAACTTTACTACTTTATAAATAAGTTATAAAGGCCTAATAATTAGTAAGTAAATATATAACGTTAGTAATAAATTAATAAGTATATTATAAGTAATCCTAACCTTACTAAATAAGTATAAAGAATAAAGGCTAAGTTATATTAACTATATAGTAAATACTATATAAAAGTAGCTTTTTACACTACTTTATAAGGCTATAAGCTAAGTAATTTAGCCTTACTTAATTTAGGTACTACTAACTATATATTTAACTATATATTATAGTTTATTATATTAGTAGTAGCCTTAATTAGTAACTATATTTAGGCTAGTACTACCTAAGTTATAATTAAAGGATATAGTACTATAAAGATTACTTTAAAGGGCGCTAATAGTTTACTAATAAAGCTCTATATATATAATATAATATATTATAGTATATTTACTATATTACTTATTTCCTTTATAAGGCTATACTAGTAAGGTATATAGTAAGATATAAGCCTAGGTAATAATTACTTAAGGCGTATAAATTATAGCCTTATAGGCTATATTAAGGAATAAGCTAACTAATAAGTGCTTAAATATTATAAGTAATATAGCTATAGCTAAGAAAGTAAAGGCGCTTTTACTATATACTCTACTAATAATTTACTACTAACCTTATAAGTAAGAAATAAATATATAATATTAATATAGTAATAACTACTTTATAGTAATATAATAATATAGTATAAGCGTCTTAGCTACCTAGGTGCTAAGGCTCTATAAAAGATTATAAATACTATATATAAAGTATATCTAACCTAAGTTAACGCTATAATAATATAAGACTATAATTTATATAGTCTTAGTAAAATAAGGTAGTAAATTTACTACTAGCCTTATAAATCTATTATAAATATAGCACTAGGTAATTACCTAGCGCTAGACTTTTATAATCTTAAATAAGGCTATATAAGGTACTACTTAGTAATAATAATCTTAAATTAAGTAATAGGCCTTATATAAGATTTTTACCTATATAGCTACTACTAAGATACTATTAACTTAATAATAAGGGGCTTCCTTATAATACTAAAAACTAAATATTTAATTACACTAAAGGTTATTAAGGCTAACTAAGGAATCCTATACCTTAAGTAACTTATAGATATGCTCTTTAATTATAAAATCTTTATTAAGCTGTTAGTAGTAAATACTTAGGCTTAAAATAGTAGCACTAAGTAAATTACTATAATTATTAAACTTAAGGCGTAATATATATAAATTAATATAAAATTACCTAAAGTCCTATAGCCTAAAATTATAACTATAGCTATATACCTTTATAATTAAACGCTATTAGTAGCTTAGGGGTAGAAATCCTTATATTAATTATTTTACTTATATTTTATACTTAATAAGCACACTAAGCCTTTACTAATAGTAAAGCTAGATTTTTTATATCTATAAGCCTATAGCTACTAAGTATATATACTAATAGTAGATATATAACTATTATAAAACTACTAATAAAAGCTTACTGCCTATATATAGATTAGATTCCTTATTAAATATATATCTAGTAATTTATATTACGTCTAGTATTTAGTATAAAATAAGGTTTTTACTATATATAACGTAATATTTAATAAGAAATAAATCTTTAATAAATTAATAGACAGATTACTTAACAAGCTTTTAAAGCTAACCTTATAGTAATTTAATAATAAATTAAAAAGCTAATTACAGCTAGTAATTAATCCCTATTATATAAAGAAGCTAATAAAGAAATAGATAAAGTAATAAAATACGCTAATATTACTTTACTAGGCGCTCTATAATTAGGTACTACACTAGAATATCTATATAAGTAGGTAAAATTTATACTTCTTCTTACTCTACTACTATTACTACTAAGCGCCTTTTTTATAGCCTTTATAGATTTTAATATAGGGGGTAGTAAAATAGGAACTAATAGCTCTAAATTAATTAATCTAACAGCTAATAGCTAAATAATTACTAATAGTAAAATAATTAATAAGTAAATACCTAAATTAATAGCTAATAGTCTATTAATTAATTTATTAATAGCTAATAGCCTATAAGCTAGTAACTTACTAGGAACTAATAGTTCTAAAGTAATAAAGATAGTAATCCTTTATACCTTATCTTATCCCTACGTAATTAATTTATAAGACGT